CCATGAAGGATGGCTTCATCACTGGGTATTAAATATAATAGGTTATTTAGCAGTGAAACATGAACATTAAGACTCCCTAGGCCTCTGTAAGAGAAGAGGAGAATGGGACAGACCAGTCTGGACAGGCCTTTAGCATCTGCTCTGTGCCTACTAAGGCAAATAGACCTGGCATCTGAATCATACAGCATTTCTTACGTTCTTTCCTATGTTCTCAAAATAATGAGTCCATACAAAACTGCAGTTTGCAAAACTATTTCTATTACATGGATGCTATGACTTCTTCTGGCAGAAACAATTAAAGCCATGTGAAAAGCTCTGCCTCCTGAGAGCAACTAGTAAGACACTTTAATGAAAAAGTAATAAAAAGTTCTACATGTCTTTAGTGACAACATACACAATGCACTTCAAGTGAAACCACATGCTCCAATAAGGAACATTTTGTTCCTTTCCAAGAAAGATTTGCATCTACTGCTATTAGTAGCTGTTGTTTTTTTAAAATCCATTACAACAGTACTCAGCACAATCAAGGTCCCTTTCTTCTCTGTCATATTCCCTCTAAAAGGATCCCACTGATCTGGATCCTACTTTGATCCAGGCTTACTGCTACTGTGATGTAACCATTGCTGACAGAAGATTTATTCATAGATTCATAGATGCTAGGGTCGGAAGGGACCTCAACAGATCGTTGAGCCCGACCACCTGTCTAGGCAGGAAAGAGCGCTGGGTCAGATGACCCCAGCCAGATGCCTATCCAGCCTTCTCTTAAAGACCCCCAAGGTACGGGAGAGCGCCACCTCCCTTGGGAGCCCATTCCAAATTTTGGCCCCCCTTACCATGATGAAGTTTTTCCTGATATCTAGCCTAAATCTGCTCTCTGTCAGTTTGTGACCATTGTTCCTTGTTATCCTAAAAGGTGCCCTGATGAACAGAGCATCTCCATTCCCTTGCTGCATCTCTCTAATGAATGTGTAGGCAGCCACAAGATCACCTTTAAAGTGACAATAATTTGATCAGAGCCAGCATGAACAAAGCTCTTCTGAGGTCAGTAATGTTCTTCCACAGCCGCAAGAAGCCCTTCGCTCTGAATTTGGTAAAACTGCTTTGGGTTTTCAGAATCCCGTTCAAAGATTTAAAATTTCAGGGAGTCAAAGTCCGACACAATTGCTAATGCCACTTTATACCATGGATTCATGGCCATGCAGAATAAAGGCATCAGCACATGGCCCAAAGAGACTTTTCTTCCCAGCACGTGTTGAGTGTCTCGATGAGTTGAGAATCACATTGAGAATCTTGCCAAAGATTGACTTGGCAGCTGTACAGCATCTCTCATAGGAGAATCTCAGAGCTCTTTCTCTCAACACCTGTGAGACTGAGAGAGAGAGAGAGAGGTGAGTGGGCTGCTCTATTCGGTGTTGAAGCAAAGTCATCTCCAGAAGGGACACTGGGACTCAGAAGTCATACCTATAAGGCAAACTTATCTAGCTGGACAATAGTGTCTTCAAACATACTGTACTGCTTTACAGAGGCTGACTCCTAACCAAAAGCATTGTAATAGGATTGGCAGCTAATGCCTAGGAGGGCTAATTAGCACCGCAGTAAGCCAGTGAGTGCATCTCAAGGATATAGGTCTTCTGGTCTAGGTGCAGAACCTGCTTGAGGGTACTGCTGCCTCATGGTTAGTGTGTTGTGTAGACATGGCCTACAGTATATGGCAGAAACATTATACACTAGGGTAGGGTATCAAGTGAATACTATCAGATTTGCAGCTTGTACCAAGTTACATGAGACAGATAAGAGCAGGTCTTTAGTCTTAACTATTAACAGATGATGGTAAAAAGGAGGCAAGATGTTAAAAAACCGAGCCAAAGTTGACTGAAGTAAATGAAAAAGCTCCCATCACATATCAATGGGCCAGTCTATAAATCTAAAGTGCACCACAATAAAAATTTATTCTCATCTCCCTAAGATAATTATAGGACCTTAGCAGCAACATATCAGTGTTCACATAATAGGGTCATTAAGCCTGATAAGAAGAAGGGACAAGAGTGATGATATGATGTCAGGGTTTATATAGACAGAGATGAGGGATTCCAGTCTACAAGAGGCCTACAAGCAACAGGAATTACTTAATGAAGCAGGAGATTGCCATATATGCATGTAGATAGGAGGAAAGAGAGTTTTTCTCTGCTCATGCTTTCATGGACTTAAATGCACTTATGTGCCTACCCAGGCAGAACGTGACAGAATATATTTGGCCATACTCCTTTTGAATATGCTCAGAAGGAGAAAGCTAAATGCACAGGTGGAAATAGGTTCTACACTCTGGGCATGTCTACATGTACATTTACTGTGCAATAAGTTACTGCACAGTAATCAGTTTTTAGGCCAGTGTCTAGATGTGTAGCCATTAAAGTGCATTAATGCTGTATGTAGACTGACCTGGGACTAAAGTTAGTCCCAAGTCAGCCCACACACACAGTGTTTCTGCACAGTAAGGGGTCTACACATGACTTACCATGCAGTAACTAACTAGGTGTAAATTTGATGCCTGCATGATGCAGGTATCAAATTTATGTCCAAGTTGGCATAAGTCACCATAGTTACTGCACAGTACGGAAGTGTATGTGTAGATGTGTGCCCGCACTGCGTAGTAAGTTTCGGTTACTGTGCAGTAACTTAAATTACTGCAGAGTAAATGTGCACATGTAGATGCACCCTCTATGTAGGTGGCACAAACACCTCTCATGGGGCACCAGATTGAGATGTGCAGCACACATGTTCCACATAGGCTGTGAGCCAAAATGAATGTAATGTAGCTGCCCTCACGTGGAACTGAACATACACTCAGACTTGCTGTTTCAGGCACCAGCACTAGCCAAAGGCAGTGACATCCTCCTTATTTCAGGCTGGAGCATGTGCAGAATGGGCCTGCTGTGCTTCATTGCAGTGCTCCTTTGCACAGTTCTTTGGCAGTGGAGATGGGCCCAGGATGCATTCATAGAAACTGAAATCAATCTCTGCTTCAGAGCAAGGTCCCATTACATTTTTAAGGAATTTTCCCATTGGTGGCTTTTTCCTTCTTTCCCAAAACATTCCCCCAAACTCTAAATAAACAGAAAGAAGGTCAACATGAGACTTTCTTGATGGCAACACAGGGAAAGCAAAAAGTAGAATTTCTGTCTTGTAGACTCATTACTAGCCCCAAAAGATTTAGACACACAGGTCCTGCATGATTTATAGAAAGTGCCTTGAGACATTAAAGCCAAACATTTCCAGATTTTATCACCTTTTCTCTGATTACATGTGCTTATAATGTACCAAACTCCAATGTGAGTGGAGTCAGTAGAGAAGTAACTTTGTAGGCTGGGATACTGGAGACTATTTAAGTAATCTAGATGCTTCTTCTCATTAGAATTACAGGGAACTGAGCATCAAAAGCCCATTGCTGGCTTTGAAAATCTCAGGTTTAATGTCTTCAATCACCATCACATGACCAACAGGTTGTAAACTTATTTCAGAACATTCCTCAACAAAAGGCTAATTAAATAATGGAGCCCTTTTAAAGTTTTGTAACATAAAGAGAAGGGTTATAAACTAACCACTCTCATTTTTAGCATCTGGTAAGCTGGGAATAGCTCACCTATGAGAACCGTATGTTTCATTGGGTTGACATTTGTTCCTCTACTTTTGCACCAATGATAGTACCACAAAGTTTTGGGTAAATTTTGCGAAGCTCTATTTGTGACATGTGCCCATTCAAATATCTCCACAACATGTCCCTTTGGGACTGACAATGCTAGAACACGAAGTGCTGAGAAACTTAGGTGGAAACATATCTCCAAAGCAAACATCAGACTCAACAATTTGTCACATCTCTTGCTTAGGATTGAAAACATATTCCAGTGATGGTGGGCATGGGGGGGCTAAAGTCAGATATAATAAGAGTAAAAAACAAAACCAGCCAGCAAGTTTTTATCATGTTAGAGTGAAAATATTTTGATATTGATGCAATAAATTCTAGAGATTCAGCTTTTCCCAAATCTGGTCATCACGGCTAGGGACAGAAGTTATACATAAATCAGTTTAATTCATCAGAAATTGGTTCAAACCTGTAACAGAACAGAAGTTCAGTGCACATAAACCAGTTTCAGCCATTTTGAAACTGGTTGAAGATAAAAATGGTTGAATGGAGTATCAGACTTAAGACATACAAAAAACTAGAACTCTTGGTCCCAAAATGATACCTTTTATTGTCTAAGGTCCCTTCCAATCCCAGTACTCTGGTGGAGGGATGGCAGCCTGCTGTCATCCCATGTGCAGATCCGGGGGTCC